CAAATGGATATTGCAAGCTGTCTTATTCTTCTGGAACAAAAAAAAGTAAAACAAAAGATAACTAAGCTGTGGGAACAATTGTTGCAGCTTGTTTCTTTTTGTCGGGAAGAGTTTAGATGTAATTCTGGTTGTGAATCTTGGGGCTCAGTCATTAGTCCGTAGCAATCACTACAATATTCCTGAGTTCCCAAATGAGACCATAATTTTATCTGAGGTTTTTGGTGACTCTATTGTCACTGTCTGTCTGGGTTGAGAAAATAAAAGACCTTTAAAATCCTGACACTAGAAAAATCTGTGCCATGTATGGAAATCCAGTCTGTGGAAATATTCAGATGGGTGATGTTATCTACATGCTTTCAGCTTCGCCAGCCCAAGCATTTAGAGTGCCAGGGTTATCAGGCAGTATTGTCCTGTTCTTTGTGTTTGCGGTAGTATTACTGCAGGCTCCAGGAAAGAGGCTCCAGTTTTGACTGGATCTCTGAATGCTGCTACGTTATAAATAATAATATTCAGTAAATGGAATAATAATACTGACAAGATAATGATAATGTTAATAGATGGACTAAGTTTTGGTCATTGAGTTTGCATAATCTCAAATAAGATTTGCTTCCTGTTCTTTGTGTTTGCGGTAGTATTACTGCAGGCTCCAGGAAAGAGGCTCCAGTTTTGACTGGATCTCTGAATGCTGCTACGTTATAAATAATAATATTCAGTAAATGGAATAATAATACTGACAAGATAATGATAATGTTAATAGATGGACTAAGTTTTGGTCATTGAGTTTGCATAATCTCAAATAAGATTTGCTACTATCAACAACTTGTCCTCTCCTTATATTTTTCTCCTGCCACTGCAAATAAAAGATCTTTCTGACTTATTTAATATGAAAAAAGCAGCAGTTGAGTCAAAGTAGACACTATACAGTGTTTACATCCTTTTTTGAATAACTGTAAATGCAATCATGTTCTATGAAAAGAGATCTTCATTTAAACAGGACCACACAAATCTCTGAGAGGAAGCAAGTGAAAAATTGATTGTTATAGAACTTTGCAATTTGGAAGGGTACCAATAGTTTCTGTGCTTTCAGTTCACATGTGGATGTTAAGAAATCCGTTATCAGATTCATTCAAGAATTTAATTATTCTCCAACCAGCAGTTGAAGTCTTGTGTCAGAACTTTGTGCATCATTAATAATTTCTTCCATTTGCTTTCAAAGATCGGTATGTAATCACAGTGATGCAGTACCCTTAGGGGTACCACAAGGTACAGCTCTAGTTGCATCAGCAATTACAGTGAAGTTTATTCTTAGTGCAGTTTATCCGGAAGTAGTATATATAATTCATCTAATTTTGACTGAGGGACATAAGCCTATGTTGATGCTTGCTGTTAAAAAAATCCTGTTGAACCTG